ATATTCTAAGATAATAATTAATAAATAATAAATAATAAAATAATAAACTAATAATTAATTCGTTCTATAACAATAGTCTAACTGGATTATATTATTAACTTGACCAAAGTTTAGTTCAGTTTAGGTTTATAGAAACACTATTACACTATACCTAGCTAATAAACATTGACTACCTATTGTTTTAATTGTTTCTCTTTTATGTTATATCTGATTTAGCCAATCAAAATTTAGAATTTGTTAGCACACAGATATCAGGTATATTATTGCTCTACTTGTAGTGTCCTTTAGATAATAAGATTTTATTTATTTTTAACCAGAAGTAATATAACCACTCCTATTAAAATTTAGAGTTAAAGTGCAAGTTTTAAAGATTTTTTTTTTTATACTGTATAATATAATGTATATTAAATTTTAGTTTTTATAAGGTTTTTGGAGGTTTTAAACATTTTTACTTAAAATACCCAATCCTATTTTTGAGATATACTGTGCACCTCTTGCCAGGGGGGCAAATTAGCAATAATCAATTGATTTTTTGATTTTTGATGTCATGACCTGATTGGCTGATTAACATGTGATATTACATTACAGAAATGTCTAAAGCATCTAATTATCATGTAGTTGACACTGCTTATATTCGGCAAAATCGCTAACTATATTGAGAATTGATCCAGGTCGAAATAGAATTGGCTGTGCATTATCGTTATACTGTAATTAAAAGATATTTTTCATCGGAGTTAAATCACTCCCATGTGCTGCGTACGTAGCAGCACATGAGTGACATTAACTCCAATGAAAAAATCTTTATTTTCGTAGCATGTGAAACTTTCTGTCGTGACATTTTGCATAAATGATGATGTCATTTTATGACAAAACTTTTTACATGATCATATCACATGAACAATAACTTGTAAAAAAGACAACGGATAATCCAATCTGTCTAATATCATATTCGAATATATACAATAATATCCGCGACAGATACGGATATAGTCATCCGGATCGCTATCCTACCCGGTATTTTAGCTCATGTACTACGAAATTCATTATTAATATTACTATGTTTTATAAAATCTGCATTACTACATATAATTTTTTGGTTTTAGTACGTAAAAAAACTAATCAAGTTAAAAGTTTTTATACTACGTATAATGTTGTCGTGAAATAACGCCCAAGAGTGTAATTAAGCTTAATTCGATCCATTATTCGAAATAACGATAACGCCCATGGGCGTTATTTCGCGAAAATAAGGTAATTATACATACATATATATATATAATGATCAAATTTATAGATATATTTGTTATAAGCAAATTATATATTACGTAGACAAATTAAAAAATAAATTTTAAAATTATATATTCCAGATTTAATGTTAATTCAAATCCAAGTATTAACTGTAATATCGGGTATATATTTATTTATATACGTACACCATGCATTTTTGCTATGGTAAGGAGCTACGTATAGTTCTTCATTTTGGTTTATGTAAACTTTTAGGCCTTCACATGATAATTTCCAATGCCCAAGTTCGATAAAGAATTGATCCAAGCATACTTATTTATACTGTATTAAAAGTACTTGATTTTCATGTGTTACGTCTTTGAGCGTACTTAACTATAATTAGATAGGGTACACAAGTATACATTTATAAAAGCATCTCTGGAGAACTATCTATGTATATACTTGCATTGCGAATTATATGACATCCAAAAATAAATAAGCCAAGGGTCCAAGGGCTGCGCAGTCAATAGCCAAGATTATTTAGATTATTTTTCCAATAGGGTAATATCATACCTTCCTAAGCTCCTTTTTCGATTAAAAAAGAAAAGATATTCTGAATAGTAAACTCTGAATAATAAACCTATATAATAGCTATAATTTTTTTCACCTTATTTTTTTAAAACGAGTTTTCATTTATTTTAATAAAATGTCTGGACAATCATCACAAAAAGGGGGGGTTCTTGATACTTCAGAATTACCTCAATCTACACCACTTTTAATTGGAAAATTGCTGAGTCAACGAAAGTTTTTCGTAAGCTCTTACTAATAGATGAACTTAAGCTGTTCATGTAAAATTTTGAATTGAATCTTTCTTTTTAATATGATTGTTAGATGAACAAAAGTTCTCATGTCGAACGTCTAGACTCATCTTCGATTTCATCTAATTCGACAATTTTTTTGAGTCACTGCGATGACGTTGAGTATGTCGTGGATTCTGCTTGTACGAAAATTATGATTGGTAAGTCCAGTATATATTTTTACTATTTTGTTGTGTCATTTCCATATCAATAATTCATTATATTTATTAGAGGAATGTAAGAATCTCTCCTTGACCGCTAATGAGAAAATCATTACTTCAACTATTGAAATATGGAAATCACAAAATGTTACACTCAAGGTAATATTTTAAATACATAGTTACCTATTGCATATACCTGCTGAACAGACACAACTAAAATAGGTATATATATATATATATATGTACAAAAAAAGCTTAATACTCAAGTTCAAACAGTTCAAGTTGATCAATGTCAGAATGTTAATCTTCAGTATGAAGATCCTCAAAACTTTCATTCGGTTGTTTGGAATAATAGTGATCAACTTTGTTTGAAAATATTGGAAGCTGGCGAAGGTAAATTTTTTTATTACCCGTTTATTACCCACTTAATTTTCGCATACGTAATAATACATCATAATTGTTGTACAGAAAAACACGTGTTGTCTACCGGTGATTCTTTCGAACAGCCTACCACTACAGAAGAATCTGTAACTCAAGAAGCTCCAGGAGATAAAGAACAGATAAAACTTAAACCTTATCAATATATTGTTAGGTTAATTGACGATAAACTGGTTACTGAAAAGCTTATTCGTGCTGAAAAAGGGTTTCCAATTACCCAAAGAGAATTAGATGAATGGAGAGTTAAAAATAATATTACTTCATAAACATTTTTTGTATTTGATATGTGTTTAAAATTTTTAAATTTTCGGATTGGGAATATTTCCTATTACAAAGTAATAAATTAAATCTTTTTATTTTCGCAATAAGTATAACTCTGATTATTTATTTTTAATTGACGAGGAAAAAAAGAATATATTAAAAAAATAAAAAATAGTATTTGATATTGTACTGTATATAAAAAGAATTTTCTATTTCCGTATACTAACAAATAAAAGCAATCAAAACGTGGCAAAAAAAAAAAAGATTTTTTGGCACTAAGCTGCTTGTTGGGTCTAATATTGTTAGCAAAACATAATATACTTCGCCAAATTTTCGGTCCCATTTACCCATTTATTATACTCAGAAGCGAACATGCGACTCAATTCGGATTTTTCGGAAATCTTGTTAAATGCAAAAGTTTTCCTTTTACGACATAAACTCAGTTGTATACAGTACTAGTGCCATATCAGAAGTTTAAATTGGTGGAATGTAGCAAGGTCCAGGTTGATAAATTCTCTTAGAATCTCTTGGGTACATATTTATTTATTGTCCGGACACATAAACAGTGTCACGTGAACAATTCTGCAGTGAATGCAGAACACACTTTAAAATAAAACCCGATATGCATTTTTAAACATATGGGTGCCGTCAAAGGAAACCCTACAATCGGACTTTCAAGTATATTTTATGTACAGTTGGTTATCTGTGTGCCGTCTATGGTAAATATATGTCCGATGATAGAATTACCATAGACGGCACACCAGTACACAAAATATACCGATTGTAGGTTTTCCTTTGACGGCACTCATATATTACAGTAATAATAAAACATTTCACACGTGCAAAAAATACTATTTTTTTCTGATGGTAGAATCTGGGCACTGTCCGGGCTCGTCAGAAGAAACGACGCAGTACCTTCAAAAAGGATTTTGGGATGATCTAACCGTTTTGGCGAATTATTTACGTGATGTAAGCGCAGGTAACCAACCATACATGTCTAGAAGATATTAAAACTTCGGTAGCTGAGTGGCTATGCGTGGCCTCATTCCCAGTATACAATACTTTATTTAACTGATACATATAAAATGCGAATATATGCTATTACATGATTGAGAATAAATATTTTCTAGCTACCGAGGGTCCCAATTCAGGTGAACTTTATTTGATATTACTATAATTGCTTCAAAGTGACGAAAATATAAAAATGTAAGGCTATACATTTGTTGAGTAAGTGAAAACTCCTTTCGACCCCTATTTCAACGAAAATTCTGGACTCTCTCTCACAAAAACTTCAGTTGCCGAGACTGGAAGGTGACAGTCATGCTTTTCGGGTTATATGAGAAAACATTGGCCTGTAGCAGTTCCTCGACTATTTGTTCGTTGTTGACGAGCTTGATGAATGTATTAAAATGGATTTTTTCATTTTTCACCAACTCTTGGACGATGACTTTGCCAATGACATGATTTCTTTCGCCTTTCATCATTTGAGCCTGGTGAAAGTTGTGATCAACGGTGCTGAGCACAATTTTACGAACCTCTAAAAGCAAAATATTAAGTATGATGAGAACGTTCACACAACGTTCATACAAAATACCATCATCATTGTCCAGATAGTAAATGCTCTCTCACCTTCGAATGTCTCGCCTCTATTTATCATATTACC